CCAGTAGATTTCAGGCAAGGCACAAGATAAACATGATGCGACCCACTTGACCGTCATTATTTGGCAGGAAAATGTGGCATTGCCTTTAAAATAAAATAAAATTGTACTGTAGTAAAATAAACAAGGATATATCCCATAGTAGAATGCAAAATGTAGCTAAAGTTTTAGATAAAATCTAAGACTTGTGATTGCTCTTCGGTTACTGTGTCTCATATTTTCTGAGCTCCTTACTTTGTGGTCAGGTATGCATCAAAGGTAAAGGTGAAAAAGCACTGAGTGTTGTGGGTGTCTCTTGTTTTCACATACAATCTTCTGAATACTTCAAAATTGGGACAAGTAACGTAGAAGCAGAAGCTCTGCTACTATACATCTTGTGAGCTGACTGTTCAGATTGTCAGTAGGGCTAGAGTTGATCAGACTAAGAAAATAAGTCAATGTTTAAACTAATAGACATAAGCCTGTTTGTCTTTGGTCATTTGAAAGTCTGTAGGGTCCCCCAAGTTGCCCTTACTTTTTTTCTTTGAATTGATGAAGAAACACAGAGCGCCTTGACCACCATGTGACTGGGCCAACTGTACGTATTTTCCTTCATGCTTGAACCCAAGCTAAGGCACTGAACATTTCCAGGCACTGATAAACTTATTTAGATTGTTGCTTGAAACACTAAAAGATCAAACATGTTGCTAAATACATGAAAACTGGCCCCAGCCCTAAACCAAATTCCTTAAATCCCCATATGAGCTCCAGAACCTAACCCCTTCTTTGCAGACGTATCTAGATGAAACATCCCTTTTCTCAGTGTTTGTTTCAAGGACCCTGTAGCACTCTGCATGTAAGTTCCTCAGTTACTCTAGTAAACAGTTCGGACTGATCACCCTGGTATTTAGTGTTTCTTTCTTCGGAATCCCAATGGGCCTCATCTTGGGATGGTTTGGGAAAGTCCCTTGTAACTCTCCTGCTACCATTTTTAGGATGTCTCCAGCTGTGGGTTCATTCAGATGGAACACAGAAGAAACTAAAACTGTTCAGATCTTTGATGCAAAGACTTCTATATGAGCAGATGGTGAAAAATGAAAATGATTCCGGTCTGCAGAATAGTTTATATTAAAGAATAGGGACAAATTCAGGCTTCGTCGTTTCAAATCACAAATCTGCCTTTCACTGGTGGTGTGAGCATGGTCAAATTACTTAAACTGGTCTGCATCTCCTTATCTGTAGAATGGGAGTAGGATGGAGTAACCACTAGGCCTCAGTGAAGAGTCAGTGTAATAGTGCAGATACATGTTTGGCACAATTCTGTGCACTTAGTAAATGCTTGATAAATATGATTTGTGTTCATCTTTTGCCATCTATTAGAGCATATATGATTATACTTTTAGACAATTGATTCTTTTTAATGTGATCAAATACACTGGAAACAATTTCTTTCACAGAATTTGTTGCTGAGGCTGACATTTATTTATTTTTTTTAAAGACAGGATTTCACCACGTTGGTCAGGCTGGTCTTGAACTCCTGACCTCAGGTGATTTGCCCACCTTGGCTTCCAAAGTGCTTGGATTATAGCGTGAGCCACCACGCCTGACCTCATTTTGTATTTTTTTTTTTAAAAAAAAAAAAAAAAGAAAGAAAAAAAGAATGAAGGAGAGGAAGAAAGAGAAAGAGGAAGAGGGAGAGAGAACGGGGTGTTGCTTTATTGCCCGGGCTAGAATGCAGTCTAAAAATGGGTATGCCTATAATTGTGCTTAATAATAGAGACATGAAAAAAAAAATGAGGGAAGAAAATAACAAACAAGCAGCCAACCAATATTTCATTTAAACCTGTAAATAGATGTGATGTGGTACTGATAAGAGTGTATGTTTTGTGTATTTAAAGTGGAGAGTTCTATAAATGTTAATTAAGTTTACTTGTTCCGGATCTGAGTTCAAGTCCTGGCTATCGTTGTTAATTTTCTGTCTCATTGATCTGTCTAATATTGATGTTGAAGTCTCCCACTATTATTATGTGGGAGTCTAAGTCTCTTTGTAAGTCTTATGTATCTGGGTATTCCTGTATTGGGTGCGTATATATTTAGGATCTTTAGCTCTTCTTGTTGCATTGATCCTTTTATCATTGTGTAATATCCTTCTTTGCTTCTTTTGATCTTTGTTGCTTTAAAGCAACTCCTGCTGATAGTTATTACTGTCAGTTTGTTCGATTCTTTCTGGTTTGACAATATTTCTTTTTATCACTATCCCGATAATTTCACCCAGGCATTTGTTTATCTTATATAGAACTAGTGCAACTGATTTTTCCTCGTTCCCTCTCTCACTGTCAATAACTTATCAATCCCACATTTTGCTGCCTAATGAGTCATCTAATAACTTTGCTTGCATTTGGGAACTTGCTTGCTAGAAGACTTCGGTATTGTCCTCACCTAAACTAAAGCCTTAGCACCTTAGCTGATATTGACTCCTCTATGATCTACCCCCCTTTTGCCTTTCTGCATTCTTATCCTATCAGTGCCATTCTGTGCCCTCCGCTCTGGCCAGTTGACCCTCCTTGTGACAAATATTCTTATTTCTGTGCCTTGGTACATACCCTCCCCCTGGAATGTTATCTTTCTGTAAACTGCTAAACCATAACCACCCTCCTATTAGAACCTCAACAAATTCCCCTCTAGAAACTCGCCTTGCTTTCTGGCACCATGGTAAGATTCCCCTGAGCAGCATTTTTATTTCCCCAGTGCTGCTAATTACTTTAATTAACCTGAGGAGCCCACGTTTTGATTTCAAAACATTCATGCTTCTATCATCCATAACCCTTTTGCATGTAACAGTCCCTCCAGAAATATTTTTGGCTGTTGAATAAACAAATGAGTGAGAAACACCCAGTGGCTTTTCCTTATCAGTAACTTTCATTTACCTAAGGCAGTGGCAGTGTTGAGGAAGCGTGGCAGGAAGAATCAGGAGTTTTCAAATTCTTTCCCTGACATTGGTTTGGTCTCTGTAAACGTGGAAATTATGAAAGCTCTCAGAATTTTGGTTTTCATAGTTCAGCAGATGGCCGAGGTTACAGAGCAGTAGGGGTCTGCATTCATTCATTTGAAATAAACTCATACGTGGTTTTGTTCATTCTTTCCAAAAATATCAGTCAGGTTCCTCCCATGTGCTGTGCCATTCACGGTGCCAGTTGTTGGAAATACAAAAGTATACGTGATATTATCACTGCTTATGGGATTTCAGAATATAATGGAGCTAAGGGGCTCAAACATTTCTCTGGCATTTGGAAGACTCTAATGCTGGACCTAGTACAGCATTAGGGTCCTTCCAAACCTAGCCTCAGAGTGACTGCCACATAATTGATTAACCTAATGGGTGGGAGATGTCCTTATTGGAAAGAAGCAGCCATATTCCAGGATCAAGCTGTGGATCCCCAGCACCACCACACAGGCTTCCTCTGAAGCAGAACAAAAGTTTTGTTAGTTCTATGCCCCTACCTTCTTTAAATCAATGCCTGCAAATGGCAGACTCCCAAGGGAAGTGTTCAGGTCTGCATTCAGGACGATAGCCCACTTTCGGTCCTTTCAGTTTAGTCTGAATAGTACATCTATATAGTAGTCCTGAATAGTACTGCTAGAAAACTGTCTTTTCTGATGTTATAAGGGAAACATGCATATTTTATCTGCACACCTAACATCCTGTCACTATCAACAGCTAAAGGGACAGTGAGAAGGCAAGAATGTGGCAGGAAGGAGGGTATTTCACCTCTTTGTGAAGCTCAGAGAAGCAGATTCCTGCCTCCAGGCTCCCTCTATGAGCCTCAGGGACAAATGACAATTTTGTAAAGGTCTGTGTGATCCACTCTACCTAAATCGCTCGTCTTGCCAGCTCCCTTGGGTCTTCCTGAGAATGTCCTTTTGTGGCCTATACACCAAGGGAACTTCCCTTTTCTAAAGCTAGGAAATTAAGACAAAGCAGGAAGTCAAGGTTACTTGATCAGGGACAATAGCTTTTCCTTCCGAGGCCACAGGATGAACATGCAGTGACTGGAAGTTACATCTCTGAGTTACTGCTCCTGGATGGAATGTTTAATGGTCCTGCCCAGGAAATGTCAGGGCATCAGCTCAGCCTCCAGGCAGAAACAGACTCTTCTTGCCAAGAGTGCTTTTAGTTCTACTTCCACCCCCAGAGCAAGCATGACAAACTGATCAAGACAGGGAGAATGATGCTGCCAGAGCAATTATGGGCTCCTGGGGCCCAGGATGGACTGAGGCAGAAAGGCAACACCACACTGGCGTTTCCATTAACAGAGTCAGATGGTGTCTGGCAGAACTGAATGAGGGGAAACATGGTCTTTTACAAGACTCAAATGATGAAGACAATACTTAACAGACTGCAGTTTGGGAACTTGCAGACTGAGACTTAGCAATAGGTGTTCTGAAGTAGTAAGGGCTCTACAGGGAGAAAATGATGTGATGTCCCAGAGTAGACAGCAGCAACCTCTGTGACCCCTGGAAGAGGATCCAAAGGCTATCCCCATGCGATTCATACGGAGAAAGGATTACCATCCGCCTAAAGATGAGAAAGATGGATGTTAGAAACCCACCAATTTTTAGATAAAAGAGCATCGGTAGAACCAATGGAATTATTCCGTGATCACTATGGAGTATGTGTTCAGATATGCTCAGAAAAGTTATTAGTCATTTTCATAAAGTCCTAAGTTAAAGAACAACTCTTCAGCTACACAGAACTATTAAAGGCATGTCCAATGCCCAAGACTAATGCCTGTATTAGACCAAAAAGGCTCATTTAAACTATGAATTTAATTCTATCAGATATGCTTCAGCTTACTTGTGTGCATGCAGTCGTTTGTACCTTCCTGAATTATAATATGTAAAACTGAAAAAGAATAAGAATGAAAGTGACACTTAGAAACATATGGTTGGACTACTCAGCAGTTCATTAACCTCCATTTTTTTTGCCACACCCAAGAAACACACCAGCAACTATCAACATAAAATGCATAGCCAATCTTTTCATTTTTATTGCTTTAACACAGATGGTTTAATTATCAGTTGAACAAATTCTTAATGAGCTACAGAGTGACAGTTGAAATTAGAATAAAGTAAAATAATACTATATAACCAAAACAAACCCACTGTTACATATGTGAAATAATGCAATCAAGAGCACAATTAAAAAAATTATTAATTCAGTTAAACACAAAAACATGCAGGATTTCAATCAAGGAGTACTTGGGCTTCTATGTCAATGTCATAGGATAATAAAGAGCTGTTTCGATTTCTGGGTAAATAATTCATTTTTATTGATTGGCGAAAATACCTTAAGAATAAATCTGGATCAGAAAGACCTACAGTGTTTTTGCCAAATTTTATCTATAGCCAAAGCACAAAACTGCTTTGAACTGGTCATTAATATAATGGGCAGTTCATTCAATCACATTCCGTCTCTGCAGAGCAGGGTGAAATGTACAAGTAAGATGCTTAGAAGTACCTCAAGTGCCACTAAACTTAAGCTCCCAAGATATTGCTGCAGTCATAAACATGACTGTTATGAATCGCTTACTTTTATTTCATCTCAGAAAGTCTTAGTTTAAATCTGCTTTTATCCTAAATTATAATGTGCATATTACCTTCAGAGAGGTCACTAAGTTTAAGCTGTCAAAGTTGTTGCTTGTAATAGTATATGAAGTAAGCGAATTTTTTCCCCAAGTTGCTATGAAACTAAAACCATAATCAAAATGGAAAACAGGGGCATCTGGAAATCTTTCTCTGGAAGTTTTAATTCATATTTAATCACCCAACTTGCCCAAGAAAATTTTGTTTTAAGCCTCAATTATTAGGTACTAAATTGGGCATAACATATGTCTACTTCTGCTTTCAGGGACTTGTTAGTCACGGATATGGAGGAGAAACCATTATGCTGTCATTTAGATCTAAGGAAATTTTCTTTGGAGAGACTGTACCACATGAGAAAAATTTGCAAAATCAACAAATAGCACAGCTTAACCCTGCAAGACAGTTGCTTAAGTTCTCATATTTATATCCCCATGGACACAATATATGCTAACATATAAGAATAGAGCATTATAATGGCATAAGATTTGGCAAGCAACGGAACACGATTTTTATAGTAGTTTAAAATTTTATGTTTAAATATTCAGGAAGGAGGAAAGTTCTGTTTGAGAGCAGGGACTAACATCTCTGACTTACTCCTTTGCTTTATTGATAAATAATCGCGTACAAATCTGGTGTTAAAAGCCCAGGTCAAAGAAATCCCTCAGTAGAAGCTCCACTTTCAGTGAACACCACAAAGAGGTTCAGGTAATTTACACAGATGGGAAATTGATGTGGCATACCTAAAGCTGGCCTGAGACTGCATAAGTTTGGCTGTCAGAATAGAAAAACAAGAGATCTGCAGGCTTTTGAACTATTGATACAACTATTCAAAGGGGGCTTTAAATGTTTAAAGAAGTGTCGCAGGACCTCCAAGACCAAATAACCAGAACTAAAAATAACCATTGTTCTTGAAAATGCCAAGGAAATAAACTTTGGAACTGGAAAATATCTCATTTGAAATGAAAACACAGGGACTACTCTGCTAATATTAAATGGCTTTTGTACAAGTTCTATATTGAAGAAATTTTTAGACATAATTGTTAGAAATCTGAGCCTTTTTGAAAGAGAATTTTATTCTTGAGGGCTTTCCTTTCCTACAGTTGGGAATAAACACCATCTTGACTACCAGATACATAAAAGTGAAGATCCCAAATATACACATTCCATTGCTCAAAGTAGGAATGCATGTATTTCTTATGTGGCTCCACCATAAGAAATATCAGAGAGTCATCTAACTCTCCAAGGCTTGAGATTTGAAAGACTATCCAGCAACATGGGGCAAGAAGAGTCTAGCCTTCAGTTGACTCTTAAAAAGGCCATGTGATGTTAAAAGATGATGTTTACCTGTATTCAGGCACATACTATACACATATATGACCATAAAGAAGGAAAGATGTATTTGCTACAGTTTCAAATACAGGGAAACTTTATCCTACTACAGTAATCCTTGGCCAACACTCTCCTGCAATCTACAATTTTAAACACAGTCACACGTTAGTTAACAGTAAAAGAGGAAAGAAATGGTGTCAACAAATGGTAGTAACCAACCAACACTGAAGATGGGCTGAAACAGACACTTCCATTGAAACTTTCTTCTCTGATGTAGTAAAAGTAATTTGGCAAGGGTTGCCCTCTTATTTCAGATCACATAAATAATTTACTTCCCACATACCTGACACTCTACACTCAATTATTAGCGGTGAGAATATTCAGCTAATCATGTATCTGTCTTGAATGATGTAAGATATATATTGATATATTTTTAAAGTTTATTTTTTTTGCTTTTACACAGAAGGCCAGCCAGCATTTGAAATATGTATCTCATTATTAACCGACAAATTCAATTAAAATTTGCAGGAAATTTGGATATTGTGGTGGCTAAAAGTTCAGAACACAGGGTGCAATAAACTTTATTTTAAAGCCAGTGAGACTCTGAGCAAGATTCTCATCCTGCTTAAGCCTCAGTTTCTCTATCTATGGAATGAATGTCTATCCTATAGGGTTATTTGGAGGATTGAATAAGATGATAGCATTTAGTACCGAGCTGGCACGTGAGGGCAAGGGTTATTATTTGTTTTGTTATCCAGCATATCCTAAGAACCTAGAACAGCGCCTGGACCATCATAGTTATTTAACAAATAGTCATTAAATATATGAATGTCTGATTACCTAGATTAGCTCTGATGTTGGGAAGAATTTCACCTATCATTAATCAGGGGAGTGGCTGAATTTCTGTTTCTCAACATACAAACAGTATCACTAAATCATGCTCAAAGTTTGTGTAGTTCATTCTTTTGCCTTCAACATGACTTCACTAAACCACCAAACCATCAAGACAAGCGTCTCATTCTATCCTTAATATTTTCCTCAGGAGGGCTGCCTAATCTTCATAGAACCAAAAAACTCTTCCCTCTTCTGTCTATGAAAACTAACTGCTTCTGCATCTACCCCTCTCTTACCCTTCCCTACCTCTGGCACGTTCTTATTTGTTGTCCCTTTAGACTACTCGGTATTGTCTCCACTTTTGTCCAACTTACCAAACTCATATTGAGTACCAATCCATATGTTTCGTTCCCACAAACCAGTGGGGACTGCTAGATGCCATAATGCAGCCAGCAGTCACGAAGCATCTCATCTCAGGATAAAACTTAAGGTCAGCCCCACAGCCAATCTATTGCCTGCAGATGGGATTCTGGTCAGATTGAGTTCCATTTGGAAAGAGTTCTCTCCATTAACATTATTTTCTTTTAGAGTGTCCAGAAATGGATTCTGTCTTGTCTGTTAGGGGGAAAATATTCACATGCAAGTTGATTAGTGTTTTAAACTATTCTTTATTTTGCTTTAATAGAAGATATGTTCTTTGTCATGTGAATCAGTTAAAAATGGCAAAAAAGTATTTTTAATTAGTCTTTCTTTCTCTTTGAGATGTCTAAGATAGTGTTAGTAGCCTCATTTCAAAACATTTTTAGTTGCAACTAGTTTTAATAGCATCCACGTTTTCTTTCCTAATTAGAACCAAAATGCCCAAATATAAACTCTCAAGCTGCTATTGGTATTAGTCCTGGCTTATTTGTTTGGTGGTAAAATGGAATATACTAACAGTAAACATATCATAATGGTGTGGGAAGAGTTATAAAGAAAGAACTGAAATTTTCATCTAAATAAGTGTTCTTTCCTGGTATGTGACATATAATAAAAACAGTAACATCTCAGGTGACAGAAATTTTCCTACTTTACTTAAAAATTATTAAAATAATATAACAATTGTGTTATTTTTAACTAAAATATTTCTGACTTTACATACAGAAAAGATGAATATTTGATTCCTAAATATATAATAGGCAAGTTGTCTTTGCAAAAAATAGGCCAACAAAAGAAAGCACAGACTTCATTCAAATTGAGATTCTGGTGCCTACTTCGCCAACCTAGAGAATTACTTACAATGAAACTAAAAGAGGCTGTCCTTTCTGCAGTGAGTTCATAAGAGAATGGTTGATATCACTAGGAAAAGTCTCAGATCCTATTCCACTCGTTCTGCCACTATACAGAAATCTGTAGCCATGAGAATCCCAATCTCTAGGACAGAAATGTACATTTGACATCAAAAAAAATTAAGAATGTTTTTGGAAAATAGAAAGACTAAAGGAATAATGCTGCTGGAAATTAAAATGCATAATTTTGACTAAAACACTAAAAAATATATTAGTCAATAATAACTGGGATAGAGATGAGAGATGGGAGAGAGATATTTTTGGTGCACCGACGAAGAGGAAAGGGCATTAACTGGAGTAATTTGCTGTGATGGGCAGTCCCAATTGAACTATTTTAGTGGGAAATTGTTAGCAGTTACCAGAGGATACCTTGCCCAGTGGTGGGTGAAATGAGAAGACCACCCTCAAAGTGAAGGCTTAGGAAGCCCTTGAAGTCACTTACCCTGTTGTTACACGTTAGGTGTTTTAGCCACTCATTATTTAATTTGAGGAGCATTAATTATTTGGTTTGAAGGTCCAAACTGAGCACTTAATTGTAAATTCACAATTTCAGCTTGAAATTGAAAACTGATGGTCTTTGCAGGTAAAGGTGTCAAGAGTGCCAGACTGCAAGAATGGTTGTCTCTGTGTAGCTTGGAGGCCCTTATTCCCTGTATGTAAGAGGTTCTTATGGGGAACAAATATGTTATATTGATCTTATGTTAAGAGATTTCAAAGGCCAGAAGGCACACTTGTGAATTTGAAAACTATATTGTTTTTTTTAATACATTTGTAGTTTGCACTCATATAATAAACATAAACAATGAACAAATTAGCTTAGAAATTTAGTGTTTGAGTTTTTTCTTGACTCACCCAAGAACTATCCAGAAACTCACTTGAAAGAAACATTGTACTCCAATAATTTTGTGATAAATGAAAGGGAATGATTTCTATTTCTCACTTTTTTATATTTGATAAAAATCTTCGGATTTCTTTAATTAGGAGAAGACCCTTTAGTGGATTATTATTTCATAAATATTTTTAAAATTTTCATTCTAATTTCAGTCTAACATTTGGCGGGGTGCTGTTGGAGAACCAGGGATGGAAATGCACTTATGGATCATATCCACCTGCTCCTCCCTCTCAAGGAATGTTTTCCCCAACATAAATGGATTTGATTAAAAAAGAAAGGTAAGTTCTTATTAGCAGGATCAAGCAAATGTATTATCAGAGGAAGCACCAGTCTCTGATGTGATATCAAAAGGTACATAGATGGATCACTAAATTATCACTCTCATTAAGAAATTTCTGGCATTCCTCTTCAGAAGAAATATCTAAATACAAATGTGTCATGCTTATTGATTAACCACATAATAGATTTATTAATATCTTGCTGCTAGTTTGTCTTGCATTTAAACATTTATTTTTATCAGTAGGTTTGAATCAAACTAAATTTTGAAATGCTGCGTACTGCAGGAATTCACTTAGGTACACAGATGCCTTTTTCAGCTCTATGCATTTTGTTTTCATGGCACCATTGATTACTACAGCAGATTAACTCCTGGAACATTCATTGAGTTAAAATTTTTATTATTTTGTTTAATTATAGTTTGCTTTGAACTAAGCTAAAAATCTGCCTTTGTTAAAGAGGAGAACTTGTTCATATCTCACTTTAGCTACAAAATCATTTTTATCAAAGAGATGGTGGCTATTTGGTAATTGTTAGGGCTCAAACTCCTGACCTCATGCTCTGCCCAACTCAGCCTGCCAAACTGCTGGGATTTACAGGCATGAGAAACTGTGCCTGGCCCAGTTACTGTATAATTTCAAGTTATTTCTGTTCTTTTGGTGTCCAGTACTGCATGTTCTAAACTCCAACATGTGGAATGATGATGTCTGGTCAAGTGAACATTAGATTTTCTAAATGAGATGCTTATAATTCTTGGGCATGTGGCTCTGGGAGCTAAGATACACAGTTGGTAGTTTGGTGATTAAAAAAAAAATTCCATACAGCTGGTAGTTCGGTGATTAAAATAAAATTCATTTATCCACTAAATTATAAATTTATACTTCTATCTGGAAGAATGATGTACCATAGCTGTCATTCTTGTAACATCTACACTTAAATCAGAAAATGATAGGAATATTTCAATAAAAGTCTCTATTTGCCTCAATAATCTAGATAGTTCTGAAAAACAGAATCATCTGAATTCCCTAATTCCCTTCTTCACTGCCTTTTCTTTTGGAGAGTGGATTCTGTTCGAAATAGTAATTGTAGGACAGTCTATAGTGTAAAACAGGGAGGAGTTTATTGCCTTCACCTCCCGGGAAGTTTTACACTGAGCTCAGGCAATCCAGCTACTTGGAAAACTGAAATAATTCATTACAAGAAATGTAACATTCCCTGTGTAATAATAACCTATTAAATAGATCCTTCTTTTCCCGTACAATTATGCTTAAGATTCTGCACATGTCCTACTCTGAATATTTATGCTTTCATATGTTTCATGCATCCTTTTACCCAAACTGGTCCTCCTAATAGCAACTGGTATTGTATGTGTAAATTTTTTTCTCATCTATCTAAGGCTACATTGTTGTTGAGACAACTCTCATTGCAATGGGAATGTTTTACAAGCAAAAAGTTACAATATAATATTATGATAATGTAGAATAGAAACATTTTTTTAAAAATCTGTGAATCAGAACTTTAAGAATGAGAAAACATGAAAACAAAACTTGCCTCCACGGAGTTTCTATTAAGGGCACTTTGTGAAAGAAAGAGGGGTGGGATCTGGGGGGGTAGAGAGAGAGAATGAGAGAGGTACACTCTACTCTAAAACTATTATGAAGTCCATTATGAACTCAACTAGGAGTGAACACAGTGACTGAGTTATAGAATGACCCCAGTGACTTTTATTTAAGAGTGTTATTAAAATTACTCCAGCTTCATTGCCATTAACTTTGCTTCATAGTTCAATGGTACAATTCATGAGGTTATATTTTACTCAGTGCCAAAAGGCTTTCAAACTTGGATTTTCCTTTTAATTACAATTGCAAGCTGATAAAAATGTATTTTTACATTTGTAAAAATAGAGTCTTATAGAACTTGCACTTCTATTGTTATCAGTATTACTCGCACTGGGATACAGTTTGGTGTCTCATTTCCCCAGTGGGTGATAACTCTTCTTGCACATGCATATTCTGATAGATCTAACACTCAAAAGTGCAGAACTCTCTAACACAGTGGAAACCCTAAAGGTGCCTATGTGGCGTCAGAACTCATTGTAACCTTCATAATGTTAATAAAGCATTTCATTAATAACCAAGGTTGACCGTCAAAATCCAGCAAGTAGCCTGACTATTCTAATTTGATTACTTTATAATGGATGTTAGCTTAATGAGTTGACAATGAGTACAGATATCTGGAGATTAAAAGGTTTTTTTAGCAAAAAAAACAAACAAAAAACAAAAAAACAGATTCTGTATGATTCATGGAAGAAATTTATGAAGGAATCATACATTTCTGCCAGGTTAGGTGCCAGGTTAGATCAGGTAAAGAAAGTATGGAGATGATTAAATGGGAAAATATTTCATAAAAGTCTTTTGCTTCTATTAAAAAACCAAGTCAGGAGCTCATGTTAGTGTTTTAATTCAAAATGTGAATGGTAAATGTACTTGAAGTATTACAGATAAACAGGACTCTCTTGCATCTCCTGTGTTTATTTGGTAATGAATAGTAGATAATCTCTATGATGGGAAAGGCTGAATGATATGTGATAATTTCATTCATTCAACAAACAAATATTCATTATTAGGTGGTGACCATACAGAAATGACAATGACATGATCCCAAATATATATTGCTTATGTTGATTTAGCTCCCAACATTTTATGTTATTTGTGAGTTAAACACCAAAATTTAGTGAAATTACAGAACTTATCAAGTGTAAAATAAAGCAGTGTGGTTAGCCAGGATTTTGTCATATAGGCACTATATGTAGAATAGTGGTTTCAGTAGACTTGTCTTCCTCTAAATTCACTCATGACTTGCACTGGATGGATTTTTTTCTTTGCTGAGCCTCGTCTGACAGCTGCACATGTTTCCTCTGGCTTCTCTCTTTTAATCAAGGGTTTTTTTGCAGGAGCCTTCATTCTCCACATCACAACTGGGTGCCGGGGCCCGGCAGGACTCTGGATTCGGATGATCTTCGTTGAGGCAATGTAAGACATTTTCACTGTTTGCACCACAGCATTCATTAAATTTTTAGCTGCTTGGATCAGGGAGGTGACACTGTCCAACTGTAGCGGGGGGAAAAAGAAGAAAGAAAAAAGAGCTATCATTCCAGAATGCAATTAAGAATTTAAAGAGATGTAATGTTATAGAAGCTAAAGAATACCACCTTGCTTTACCCCCAGGAATGAATGGATCATTTTTTTACATAACCATGTATAATTATCAATCAATACATCTATTTTTGATCATTTTCTATTTATCTGATACATCAATGGATCCACAATCTATCTTCTAAGATAATATCATAGAGAGATTAATTTCTTTCTCTTGGCTTTCAGTGATATCATATAAATTCTTCAGGGCCCCAATCCACATAATACTACAAGGCCAGATGGTCATGATTTTCTTTGTAATGGATCTTTCTATTTCTAGGAGAGAATCCTGAGCTCTTTCTGTAAGACAGGATTATCTGCAATAAAATCTATAAATACTTTTATACAAACAACAATTGAGAATTATCCTCAGGGAATAGTTTAAGATAATGGGGCTCTATAGTCAAATGAAATTGAGTTTAAATTCAGATCTGCAATTTGGAGAAATCATTTAACCATTTTTGCCCTAGTTTTTTTCACTATTAAAAAGAAAAAGTTTATTAAAGGAAAAGTAATGCATGTAAATAAACTAATAGGGTAACTGCCAAATAGTTGATTTTAATTAAATATTATTTCCTTTTTTTGCTATGAAGACTGACAAAATTGCTTAATGATAAACATGCATTAGTGAGATTAAGAAAAATATTTTTCCACATGATTCTGTTTTTGTTAAAATTTCTGGTTTGAGTATACAACCAATCTCAAGGAAAAATGAAGTGGTATTCCTAGAATCTTATAAAATACCTTAGAACTAAGCTAAGTTGATTTATTTTCTTTCTTTGGAGACCAAGTCTCACTGTTGTCACCCCGGCTGGAGTGCAGTGGTGCTATCTTGTCTCATTGCCTCCTGGGTTCCAACAATTCTCCCACCTCAGCCTTCCAAGCAGCTGAGATTACAGGTGCCTGTCATCATGCCCAGCTAAGTTTTGTATTTTCAGTAGAGACGGGATTTCACCATGTTGGCCAGGCTTGTCTCAAACTGCTGACCTCAAGTGATCCACCTGCCTCAGCCTCCCAAAGTGCTGGGATAACAGACGTGAGCCACTGAGACCAGCCAGTTGGTTCACTTTTATACAACCAATGTCTCTTGCATTATTTTAGCTTGGCAGATTGTCATCCACCGCCAACTCACAGGCAGATTTGCCTCCACTGTCACCCCCCTGTGATGCGTGCTGTCAGGGTTGAGATTCAAACACTGGCACTGTAGTTACTAAAATCCATCAGCAGCTGCCTGGCCTGAGTACTCTACCTTTGCTGTTCGAGGAGTCTTTTCTCACATAAGGATTAAATGAGCAGAGGAAAGGAGTAAGTTGAGGTTATGTGCCTGAGGCAGTGGTCTACCTGGCTGCTTCCAGGGAAAAAAATTTAATTAACTCCATTATATGCCAAATCTGAAATCCTTGAGAAGGTAACTGCAAAAATATGTAATGTGAAAGGGAATAATACTTGGCAACTGCACTTCTTTAAGTCTTTTTTACTTTTTGAAGCCAGAAATATAAAATCTGTGCATGTGGCAGGAATGACAAATGTTTTACAAACATTAAAAAGGATTTCATGAAGCACTCAAATGTATTTTGGAGGACATTTGGAGCTTCTGAATCTGTATGCAACTTAAAAACATACTAGACTTTGAATAGAATAACACATATTGTTATTAAATTACTCCACAGACAGATTGCAAGTTCAAATCTGTCTTTTAATAATTAACAAAACCTCCTGGAATCCAGGTTTTGCTGGGTTAATCATTATGGTAGGTTTCCAATCCCACCACAGAAATAAGCCAGTTTTTCTAAATGCGGTGATAAAAGGAATACTGTTGAGACTCTTTGGTAATGCCATTGCTCAAACATGGAAATACTGCATTTGTCCTAAGAACTCTGCACCATCACAAAGTCATTTATGGAAGCAGGTCATAAGGACCTCCTGTCATTCAGGATTTCGCCAGTGACTTTGGTCTTATCCTAAAACTTACATTCTGCTTTCTTCCTTTTAACTCTGTAATTTTGCCATGTACACTTTGCATTTATTTCATCTCCTTTTGATTATTTTTTTAATTGTATTTGGGCTCTGGGTACATGTGCATGTCCTGCATCCTGCAGGATTGTTGCATAAGTACATACACGCAATGGTGGGTTTGCTGTCTCCATCACCCCCCCAACCCATTGCCTACCTCAGATATTTCTCCTGGTGTTACACCTCCCCTTCCTCCCTCCCCCCGCCCAGGTAGTCCCCCTCCACCCCCCAACCTATCCCTGTGAGTATTGTTCCCTTCCCTGTTCCCAAGTGTTCTCATTGTTTATCACCTGCCTATGAGTGTTTGGTTTTCTGTTCTTGTGTCAGTTTGCTGAGAATGATGGTTTCTAGGTTCATCCATGTCTCTACAAAGGACACAAACTCATAGTTTTTTATGGCTGTATAGTACTCCATGGTGTATATGTGTCACATTTTTTTTTTTTTGGTCCAGTCTATCATTAGTGGGCATTTGGGTTGGTTCCAGGTCTTTGCTATTGTAAACAGTGCCGCAGTGAACATACGTGTGCATGTGTCTTTATGATAGAACGATTTATAATCCTTTGGATATATACCCAGTAATGGGATTGCCGGGTCAAATGGAATTTCTGTTTCTAGGTCCTTGAGGAATTGCCACATTGTCTTCCACAATGGTTGAACTAACTTAGACTCCCACCAACAGTGTAAAAGTGTTCCTATTTCTCCACATCCTCTTTAGCATCAGTCTCCAGATTTTTTCATGATCGCCATTTTAACTGGCATGAGGTGGTATCTCAATGTGGTTTTGATTTGCATTTCTCTAATGACGAGTGATGATGAGCATTTTTTCATGTTTGTTGGCCTCATATTTGTCTTTATTTGAAAAGTGTTGGTTCATATCCTTCACCCACTTTTGAATGGGTTTGTTTTTTTCCTGTAAATCTGCTTTTGTACTTTGTAGATTCTGGATATTAGCCCTTTGTCTGATGGGTAGATTGCAAAAATTTTTTTCCCATTCTGTTGGTTGATGGTTTACTCTAATGATTGTTTCTTTTGCTGTGCAGAAGCTCTGGAGTTGAATTAGATCCCATTTGTTTATTTTGGCTTTTGTTGCCAATGCTTTTGGTGTTTTAGTCATGAAGTCCTTGCCTGTGCCTATGTCCTGAATGGTTTTGCCTCGGTTTTCTTCTAGGATTTTTAGGTGTTTGTTAGTTCTTAAATTTAAATCTTTAATTAATTCATCTGGAGTTAATTTTTGTATGAGGTGTAAGGAAGGGGTTCAGTTATTGAGAGTTTTTAGCATAAAGGGCTATTGAATTTTGTTGAAGGCCTTCTATGCATTTATTGAGATAATCATGTGGTTTTTGTCTTTGGTTCTGTTTACGTGGTGAATTACATTTACAGATTTGTGTATGTTGAACCAGCCTTGGATCCCCGGGATGAAGCCTACTTGATTGTGGTGGATAAGCTTTTTGATGTGCTGTTGGATTCAGTTTGCCAGTATTTTATTGAAGATTTCTGCATCGATGTTCATCATGGATATTGGCCTGTAGTGTACATTTTTAGTTGTGTGTCTGCCAGATTTTGGTATCAGGATGGTGTTGGTCTCATAGAAGGAGTTAGGGAGGATTCCCTCTTTTTGTACTGTTTGTTTGTAATAGTTTCAACAGGAATGGTACCAGCTCCTCCTTGTACATCTGTTAGAATTCAGCTGTGGACCCATCTGGACCTGGACTTTTTTTGGTTTGTAGGCTGTTAATTGGTGTCTCAACTTCAGCCCTTGTTATTGGTCTATTCAGGGTTTCAACTTCTTCTTGGCTTAGTCTTGGGAGTGTGCAAGTGTCCAGGAATTTATGCATTTCTTCCAGATTTACTGGTTTATATGCATAGAGTTGTTTGTAGTCATCTCTGATGGCAGTTTGTATTTCCAAGGAATTGGTGTTGATCTCCCTTTATTGTTTTTTACTGTATCTATTCTATTTTTCTCTCTTCTTTTTTATTAATCTAACTAGCGGTCTATTTTGTTGATCTTTTCAAAAAACCAGCTCCTGGATTTATTGATTTTTTTGAAGGGTTTTTTGTGTCTCTGTCTCCTTCAGTTCTGCTCTGATCTTAGTTATTTCTTGTGTTCTGCTTGCTCTTGAGTTTTTTTAATCTTGCTCCTCTAGCTCTTTTAATTTTGATGATAGGGTGTTGCTTTTAGATCTTTCCTTGTTTCCCATGTGGACATTTATTGCTATAAATTTACCCTAGAGGTTGCTTTAAATGTGTCCCATAGGATCTGGTACATTGTGTCTTTATTCTCATTAGTTTCAAAGAACACTTTTATTTCTGCCTTCTTTTCATTGTTTATCCATTCGTCATACAGGACCAAGTTGTTCAGTTTCCATGTGATTGTGCAGTTTTGAGTGCTTTTCTTAATTCTGAATTCTAATTTGATTGTGCTGTGGTCTGAGAGACTGTTATGATTTCTGTTATTTTGCATTTGCTGAGGAGTGATTTACTTCCAATTATGTAGTCAGTTTTGGAGTAAGTGCAATGTGGTGCTGAGAATGATGTGTATTCTGTGGATTTGGGGCGGAGTTTCCTGTAAATGTCTATTAGGTCCACTGGGTCCAAATCTGCTTTCAAGTTCTGGATATCCTTGTTGACTTTGTATCATTGATTTGTCCAGTATTGTCAGTGAAGTGTTAAAGTCTCCCACTATTATTGTGCTGGAGTCTAAGTCTCTTTGTAGGTCTTTAAGAACTTGCTTTATGTATCTGGGTCCTCCTGCATTGGGTGCATAAATATTTAGGATAGTTAGCTGTTATTGTTGCATTGATCCTTTTACCATTATGTAATGCCCTTCTTTGTCTCTTTTGATCTTTGTTGGTTTAAAGTCCATTTTATGAAACTAGGATTGCTACACCTGCTTTTTTTTT